CCGAAGGTAACGTATACTTCAACCTACGCTATATCCATGAAACATCTAACGCGAAAAGATCTTGTCGTCTCCTAGTCCCAAGATAGCGACTCCACCATTGCACGCTGAGGTGAACTAGACTTCTGCGTCACCACAAATTTAGCAAAAAAGATATGTTCCTAAGCAAGTAAACAAACATTTCCCACGTCCGCGCAAAAAGAGCAGCAAAAAAGATAATAATGAAGTGGACATGGCGAAACTCGAATCCGCGTCTCCCTGCAAGCTCGCTCGCCTTTAAGCCAGTACAACCGCGTACGGGCGCCTTGCCATACTCTGTTCTGTTGAGTCTAGACCACATGCCCTTGAAATGTATTTGATTACTAATCTTGGGATTGAATGAGATATAGCGATAGTGAAAGAAGATGAGATTGAGTACCTAGGTAGAGTGGCTGCCGGTCGGCTTCATCTGGGCAGTACGAAGCGCTCGTCAGTACTGATGGTCTCACTGCTTGCTTCTGCTGCTTTCTCGACACGAGTATCTAGGTATGCTTTCAGATCAAGCAACGTGTCGAACATTTCCTGGGTTGAAAAGGTGGTTGTAGGGATGGTATTGCTTGTCCTACTGGTACTGACTTAGTAAACGTGAAAGTCCTGGTCTTCTTCATTACACTATGTCTCTTTGTTGTGCGCTTTTACATTTTGATGAGCTTGTGGAAACCTCCCCGACTGGAACTGTCGCATTTTGCTGAGATATATGGACGGCTCCTACGTTGCGGGGTTTTATGCGTGGAATATGCTTTCGTTTTGCTGTGAGAGCCAGGAGGGCTATCTTTTGGTCATTTCGTATTACACATCGGATAGCGAGGTCTCTGTCGGTCTGACTGTCGGACGTGGGTGTTGAAGGTACTGCATGCCGGACCTGTTCACTCCATGAGTTTGGTGTATTGATAGCGGGTGGGAATAAGCTCACCGATCATGCATCGAGCCGAGATTCTGCCTCCCGCAGCGATTCTCTGACTGATGCTTTCAACGTCCTGAACTCCTCCTTTAAGCTCTCAATCTCCACTTTTTGATCATCATTCTTCAACAATAGTGCAATATTGTCCCCCTCCAAATCCTCAATCTTTGTCGCTTGTGTCTCACTCCATGCTTCCCTCTTAAGAAGATCCTTTTTACAGCGATCGATCTTCCCCTGAAAGTCTTTTTTCTCGCTTTTCCAGTCTTCTCTCTCATTCTTCAAGTCTTTATTCTCACTCCACAATTCCTTGTTTATCCCCTCCGAAATACCAAACTTCTTCTCTAACTCTCCATACTTTGCCACCCACCCGTTGTGCACAATCTTCGTCTTCTTGTTCGCCTCTGCCAACATTTTTGTGCCGACCGATTCCTCAGTCGTGTCTGACTTGCGTTTCTTTTGTGGGAGAGGGCATCCTGTCTTCGTATGCCCAAACTTCTGACAGTTGAAGCAAAGGATAGTTTCAGTCTGAGGGCAATCGTCGATGAAATGGCCTGGTAATTCGCAGTGGAGGCATTTGGGTGGGAACTTTTCGCACGTCTCTCGGTAATGGCCGTGCTCCCCACAGCTCAAGCACAGATGAGCTGGGTTCTTGCAAGTGGTATCGAAACAAGGTGCCACCATGTCGAATTTTGGCGTGGATCTTTGGCGTTGTAAGGGAAGCCGTGAAGAAGTAGGCTGGTCGAGAGGAGATGATGGAAGTGGTGAGATGGTATGAGTGAGCTGAGTTATCAGGCATGATTTATCTGGCAGTGTTGAGAATTATTAGCGAGGAACGTACCATGAAACCATTCCCAACACACCCCACAACAACAACCAATCCAGTGTTGCGCAGATCGAAAGGGTCGCTTCAATTACGTCTGTATTTGTGAAATCTGTAGAGACTTTCTTCCACCGTGTTCTAAGTCATTCTTATTGCTGTGATAATGCGCGATGATGAGACGACCCAGCCCTGACGAAATCCAGGCCTTGGTGGCTCTAGATTCAAGACATCAGTGTAAATTCATCCCATTCGAGAGAAAGAATGAACACCCTAAAGCCCACATTGACTTTAGGCTATCTGATTTGCATGTATTCATCTTAGTATATGCTGCAGATCTGTTCAGTTTTATATCTGTACGAGGAACACTCAAACGCATCTTGGATAAGGACTATCAGTGTGTAAGATGCCAGGAAAGCTTACATGAAAAGTCATCTCCAAGACTAGCAATACAGAAAAAGTGTGCCTGGTGCATATCGAGAATACCATCGCGACCTATTTCTTCGAAGGCTTGAGCTCATCTATTCATTGAACTACCCGGCCCGTCTAAGACGCAGTTCTAGCTGCCATATGCTACCCGGGTAGTATTCCGTGATACCTTGACGCTGCTTAAGGATATTCTGATTTGCCACCATCCAATTATGAACTTCTCTCAAATCCACTTCGTCTCCGAAATTTTCATGCATATCGCTGATGATGTGATCCAGTTGGATATCGGCTTGTTGCAGTGCCACGCACGTGGGGTTGTCCAATGGAGTCCTGCCGAAGCCGTACTTAAGCAGTGGTTGATACATCTGCCTTGCGAGAGTGAGGGCTGCATCATATCTCCATCGCAGATCACCGTCGGGTTCCTTGATCTCAATGAAGTCGATTTCGTTTACGAGCATGTCTACGGTGGGGCATATGTCATATGGCTTTACAGCGAAACGATCCTGTACGTATCGTTCATAGACTTCCATTTGCGCCTTCGCTGCACTCGGGTCAACCTCGCGAAGTTGAGTGTATCGCAAGTCTGTTCGTTGCATTAGTACCGTAGCATGACAGATAAGCTCCCAACGGGTAGGTTACTTTTGTGTAGACCTTGCATATTGAGAATTGTGTAAGGGTCCGTGTTGATACTCGCTGTGAACGCACGCCAGCCTTCGTGCTGAGTCTTTGCTACTCGTAGATCTTCGCGTAGCTGACCGATCTCATACAGGGCGCGCTGCAGCTGTTGTTGCGTATCTTGTAGCGTTTGACGCGTCTCAAGCAATTCTTCTCGCATCGCGGTGCCGCGCGTATCATATCCATTCTTCGTACATTCTTTGCGAAGATGTCCGAAGCCGCTGCATCCGTAACACTGTATCTTGGCCTTGTCCGGGCAGTCATCCATGATGTGACCTTTCTTTCGACAATGGAAGCAAGTTGCCAACGGACAATCCTTGACCCAATGTCCCTGGGCGTTACATTTGAGGCATCGGCCGCTTCCAGGAACAACTTCGCCGGCGTAGTCGTTCAAGCCTGGGCTTGAAGAACGTGAGCGTGGAGGCGAGCTCATGATGCTGTCGCGTGCTGCGTGGGAGTGTTCGCGAGCCCTAACAACCTCCGAAGGAAGAGTGCTTGCAAAATAAGAACTGGGTACCATATGCGCCATGCTTGCTCATGGATGGATGTCTTTGTAGGAATTCGCGTTGTGTTCGAAGGGTACGCCTGAGGGACGACGACGACATACCCACCACATCGCAGGCGCGAAGCGTCGCGTTTCAGAAGACCTCGTGCTTGTCACGTTCGTGCCGTGCGTGCCACGTTCGCGCCATGCGTGTCACGTTTGTGCCGTGCGTGCCACGTTCGTGCTCGTCACGTCCTGCCGACTAGGCTTGAGATAGTTTAGCTGACATGGAATGAACGCGCATGGAAGTATAAATGCATCCGGCTTACACCGAAACCGAAGATCAGACGAACTCCCGAGGTCTTCGAAGCTTCAGCTGGTGCAGACACTGCCCAGGTGGTATATAGCCGTTGTGACAGCATCTAACAGGCTCCAAGACGTGCACCGAACACGAAGAGATATCGTGTCATGGAGTGCGCTTCGTTGCTCAAAAGCATACAAAGGTATTGAGATTGCAGAACATGAAGTGAAGGGCCGATGTGGAAGTCGCGGTGGAAGATAGTGCGCGCTAAATTCTGGGGCTTACGCGAAAACCTACGACTACCTCCAAGGTATTCTTTACCCACAAGATACTAGGAGTTAGGAAAGCGGAGAAATGGCATAGTAAAGAAATGTATGAGTGTGTTGAGACTGTTTGCTGTAGGCGACCGTGGGTGGTTTCCATAAGTGAACTAGCCTATCACATGATCGCGCCAAGATATCTCGCGCGGACCCTGGAACTCCGCTCCTCCCCAACGCTGAACCAACACTCCCGTTCGCAATATGCTATCGTGCGAACATATGTCGCTACCGAGCCCAACACTCGATCGCCGCAGCAATTATCTTTCGCGTCTTCCTGTCGTTCTTGGACAATTGCTTACCCCGCGGTCGGACGCGTCGCGAGGTGCGCGTGTCTAGCTTGCGCTTCTGGCTTTCGACTTGCAGCTTTACCAAATCCCTACTGGCCTACAAGATACTCGTCGTCGTCATAACCTTTCTCTCTCATGGGCACCGACACGTGCTACTATGCTCAAAAATGATGTCACGACGACGAGGAGCGTCAAATCTAGCCCAGACATCTGTTGTGGGTGATACCTATACCAGTGCTGCAAGCATGCGCTTTGAGATTATCTCTACATCGTAGAAACCTCACGCAATTGTGGGTTTAGCTATGGGCTCAGAACAGCCGATCACCCATGCTTCAATTTGGTCGAGACATTGCTTCCTGGCCGCCTTTACCGTGGTCCATTCCTACGAAGGGTCGCTACATATTCGCCGATCTCTCACTCTCTGCGTACTTCGCCAGCTTCATTAATCTCACTTCCGAGATGGAAGTTGCCTGCATTTATTGCTAACACGTCAGCTCCTTCAATTACTCGCTCTTTCTCTGCCTCTTACCGCGTTCTGCTCTGCCTATCGTCACGGGGTGACCTTCACCATCCATTCCCCATATAAAACTAATCTTTCCTATCTCAACCTTCTTCATCCTTACCCTCTCTTCCCATCACTTCCATTAGAGAAGGGTGAGTAGTCTTCTTACTTTTACTTCAAATACTAACAACAATGGCGTAGATCCAATCCAGTTCCAACGACAGAGCTCGCACCTGCGAGTCTAAATCATGGTGCCTATACCCTTGCCGACGTTGGAAGAGTTCGCTGTTTGGCTGAAGACTCAACCAAACCCAAAACGCTACGATGTCACTATCGAGGATATGCCCGATACACCATGGTCAAGGTTGCCTCGAACGACTATCGATACTAGGCTGAAAGAGTTTGCGCAACGAATAACCATATGTCTGGACAAATATCCCTACGACGACAAAGAACTCGACCATATCGAGAAAGCCGCGCAATCGGTTTCTCAAGTCAAGCGAAGCCCTGCTATGCAAGTGGCGTTTGTTGGTTCCCAAGCCGCAGGAAAGAGCAAGTTACTGTGCTCTCTTTTCAGTCTCGACGGTGTTTCTCCCACTGGCACCTCTGGCAAGGCTTGCACAAGTACAGCTATCCGATACAAGAACTATGCAGAAGGAAAAGACGGTCCAACGAAATTTCATGGCCAGACTAGGTTTCTCAAGACGAAGAAACTTGAAGCCATGTTCAAGGAGCTATGTCGCAACTATTACTACTTCCACCACGCCGAAGAGGACTCCGAAGATGAAGATGATCCCGAGTCCGAAGAAGCCCCAGACCAATCCAAGCTCGAAGCACTCAAGGACACAGCGGAAGACATCCTGGTGGCTCTGTGGGGTTCCAAACAAAGTTTCCTGGAAAGCTGGAGCCCATCCGTATTCAAGAGCGGAGCGTTCGTAAGGCTTTGCCAGCTGAAGTTCAAAGAAGCAATCGACTTCGCAAATGTCGACAGTGATAGTATTGCATACATGATGGGGAATGATCAACATCAGCTCCTGGGCCAAATGATACGATTTATGTCACAAGTCGAGGGGGAGAAATGTCTATGGCCTTTGGTTGATCACGTTATCATCAGCTTTTACAGTCAATGGCTCGAACAGGGACTGGAATGCATTGACTCACCAGGTAAGAAGATTTCCAGAAGACGAACATTTAGTCAGCTCAAACTAATTTCTTGTAGGTTTTGGTGACTCCAACCGTCAGCGAGCCCGACATGCTGATGAGATTCGCGACAGTGTGCAGGTCGAAGTCATTGTATGCAACACGACACGTATCGAGTCGGACGAGATGTTCTTGCAACAAGCACGCACCGCGATCAATCTGCATGGTGCAGAGAACGTGCGCTTGGTTGCTACCTACATCGATGTAAGAATTTGACTCTTGGTATGCAAGCGGTACCTAATGTATACAGATAATCGACGACAATCAAAAAGGTCAGAACGAATGTGAGCCGTACAGCACAATCAATCGCCTGCTGGAAGAAACCCGAGAAATGCTGGCATCATTAGACGACGAAGATGACGTTGAACAAATCGTCAAGCGCAACTTGCTCGAAAAGTACGAAAAGTATCTGGATCGTTGTGTCAAGCGACATATGATAGCAGAACGTGCAGAGAGACTAACAAAAGCTATCGGAGACAAACTGCAGGGGCGATCGGCAGGCATACTCCCACCGATCATTCATACCTCACCAGAAGTGTACATGGAATGGCTGGAGAAGCCAAAATTCACGTTCAAAGATCAACCTGCTCTCTCAGTTGAAGAGACCGGTATTCCACAACTTCGCAGAGAACTCCTTGCTCTTGTAGCACCCCAGAATATGCAAGACTACGAGAGCCACGTGTTCGTCACAGCGCCAGCCGTGATTGAGAAGATCATACGAACAGTCAGGGTAGACATCCATGAGGGTGGGTTCGTCACGATCGCCGACGCGTTCGAGGTAGTGGGACAGAAGTTCATGGTACCTTGGAAAACTGGGGTGATGAAGGTCTTCCAAGACATGTCAGAGAAGAGCATGAAGAAGCTAAGAGCAGACATACCTGCTCTACAGAATCGCATCAACATGAAAGTGGAAGAGTGGTGCAAGTTGAACTTTGCCGCATTCAACAGAGCCATGAAAGGAAAAGGTGCCCTTCCAAACGGGAAGTCGTACGCTAAAGCCCCTCAGAGCGGTCGTAACTTGGACAAAGAACTTTCAGATATACTGACTCCGGGTATCTCTAAGTGGGCAAATACACATGCTTCCTTTATGGCACACATGGAAGAAGTATTTTGCAAAGCTATCGACCAACTCCATCGGCGCGTAATCAACGAACTCGACGATGCCGGTGGCAACATGGTTACGGTCGAAAAGGCCAAGGTTAAGTGGCATAACGACAAGAACAGCTATCCGGAAAAGATCAAGACCGATATGATGGTGCTGGTGACTGATATTCAGCGACTGACGAAGCGCGCTTCAGACTGGGCTGTCATGAAAGATGGCAGAGAGAACAACCTCGTTGGCTCTATCACCAACGAATGGTATGACGACATCCATGACGCTGCACCAAAACTGAAGCCACCGGTTCCAGGAAGGAAGCAAAAGAAGGTTTACGAGAAGCCGGGACGATTCCAGTTCCAGAAGAACCGTATGAAGTCACACTTCTCTGGCTCGAAAGTCCAGTTCGTTGAGCACGCCTTCCAGAAGCTCCAGGCAAAAGTCGATCGAGACACAGGGGCTTTGGTCGACAAACACTTCGAGAGAATCAACGACATACTATCAGAATTTGCTGAACACCTTCGAGGTCGGAAGATGCTCGACTATCAGATCAGCGAGCATGGACGAGCTATTCGCGCCGATCTGAAAGAGCTACTCCCACACCTCCAGGACGAACTTCATCAGATACAGAGCCTTTTTCCACGGCGTGTGAAGGAGGAAGACGGCGCTTCGCCATCCAAGTTCGCCAACTACGCCGACTTGAACGTCGATGACGCGACCTTCCCCGAGATCTACGATAGGGTGATGAAGATGAAGAAGCCCGCTCAAGCTCCGAAGCGCAGTACGAAACGCGACGATGATCCCAAGACGAAGCGCATGAGAATCGAGCAGTCTTGAGATTATCTCGACAACACAGGATCTGGCGTGTACCTCCAGGACCAACTTTGGATCACCTACTTGTCAACCAAGGTTCCCACGAATTCGGCAATGTGTCTACGCGACAATGGGATGGTCGAGGATACATTTCATTCTTTCTCTACTTCAGACTCTCTGCTAGACAAAACTCGGAGCCATGCTGCATGCTAGCCTTTCACATTGGAATCACGCCGCGATCGCCGTGCATGCGTATGCACAGTATCAGTTAGGGCGTGTGCTTCTTGTTTTTCTTCCAGCGTTCACGATGTCTTCTCTCAACGACGGCAGCAATTAGTTTAGCGATTTCTTTCGTTCTATTCAACAGGCGACTTTGAGCCCACTCTCTGGGTTCGGTCTATCCTGCGCAAAAGTTTTTCATCATCGAGCCATGTTTCTTACATACCCAGTCATAGCAACATGAATCACATTCAAGATACCAGCATACCTTTGCCTCCAGTTTATGGTGTACGTGATCAACCCGGTCGTCCACTCGATATCTTTAGCTCGATGCCTCTGACACGTCGCAATCATTCACGCTCTTCCAATGTGCACTGAGATATTCGTCTGTTAAGAGGAACTGAGAGGGATATAATAATAGTCGCTAACAAAAATGTATATGTATCCAGCACGCAAACGAGGAAAGGAGAGTCAAAACAATACAGTACACCAACAGCAATCCGCATCTCCTACTCCAAACTCAGAGAACACCAGTATCGTATATCCACCACCCATCTCCTACAGCCACCACGATCCTCCACGCAAGCCCCTACGCTCTTCCATTCACCATGATAACATGACTCCCCCCTACGCACCATCCCCCCACAGCCCAACAACCTGCATCGCAAACGCCACGCCCGCCAACCCCGTCTTAACCCACTCAACCACCTGCTTCCGCTCAACCGCCAAGCGCACCTGCTCGCCATTCACCTCATCGCCCTGCGCCTCCAACTCCATAACCTGCCTCTTCTCGTTCCCGCCCTCGGTCAGACCAACCGCATATTCGACACCGGGTCCAGACACAAACGCAAAGATGGATGTGTAAAGTAGGTACGGGTGGCGGAAGCGGGCGGGCGAGAGACAGTAGGCGGAGAAGAGGGTGAAGGTTGTTATGTGGCGGAGGTAGGAGGATAGGTTTGTGGATTTGGTGGTGAGGTAGATTAGGGAGGTGCGGGCGTTTATGGCGGTGGGGAGGGCGAGGAGGGAGGGCAGGGCGATGGTCGAGACGGTTGCTGAGACGCCCTGAGGGGGTGTTAGTTATCTGGACAGTGTCTTCTGGGGGTTGTTCCTGGGGGTTTGGTATAGGGAGGGGGGGAGGGGTTGGAGCTCTGATAGCTTTCAAGCGGGGAGCTTGGAGAAGTGAAGTGGCGGGTGGTTGACTTACAGTAGCGATTCCCAGGGTGATTGTTCCGACGAATTTACATATTGAGACTGTTTGGGCGGCCATTGTGATGGTACCGTGAGGGTTTGGGGAGATTGCCTTGCTCTGACTATCGCGAGGTTTCTCTGTCGTGGAGTTATCTGTTGGCAATGCAGGTTGACGTGCATGCAGCGCTTGGAAGATTGCGGAGATGCTGCGGGCATCATCCGGAGCAGGCTGTCATCTTTCGGAGAAATCGGGATGGCCCAAGCTTCCCCTTCCAGAATGCGGAGAAAGAGCACATGTTAATCAGTAATCACGCTGCCACGGCCTATAGAAAGAAAGATGTTGATTCATTGTCAGGACGCTCCTTACCGTACATATTCTGCACAGTCTTTCAAACCTGTAAAATGCATTCGATGCGCGCAATGTATCGCCCTGGGCGGATCGCAAGCATCAAGAGAGTAATCTCGCCAGTCGTACCTCGGCTTACAACACCAACGCGTATCCTGCACGCATCAGCCGGGGCTTGCGGCCGTAACTTTCACACGACGTGAGCAACCTCAGCTACTTATACTCCACTCCATATTGATCTCCGCACTCGACGATAAACTCCCAACGTCATCACCTGCTCACTCACCACCGCCAGTCCTGCACGCTTCCTGTCCGACGACCCCGATAGCATAGAACCTGCCTGGAAAACACCGCGCACCATGCCTATGGAGAAATACCAGTTTATGAGCAATGTCTGGAGGGATGGCATCTTTGGTATGTCCCATATACTGGACAGCAGGCGTGGATAGGCAGACTTGGCCTATAACCACTGCTCAAACAGCCCAACCTCTCTCTCCATCAAAGCTAACAACCACCCCAGACAACAAAGTCGTCTTCTGCACCGGCGGCGCCGGCACAATCTGCTCGGCCCAAGTCCGCGCCATGGTCGCGCTCGGCGCAAACGCCTGCATAATCGGACGCAACGTCGAGAAAACCGAAAACATGGCCAAAGACATCGCAACCGCGCGCCCCGGCGCCCGCGTCCTCGGCATCGGCGCCATCGACGTGCGCAAACCCGAACTGCTGCAAGGCGCCGCCGACCGCTGCGCTCGCGAACTCGGGAGCCTGGACTTTGTCATCGCAGGCGCAGCCGGCAATTTCCTCGCGACCATCGACCAGATCAGTCCGAATGCGATGAAGAGCGTTATCGATATCGATGTGTTGGGGAGTTATAATACGGTCAAGGCGACGCTGCCGTATCTTAAGGAGTCGGCGGGGAGGTATAGGACGGATGGGACGACGCTGCCGGCTAAGGGGACGGGTGGGCGGATTATCTTTGTGAGCGCTACACTGCATTACACAGGTACACCGATGCAGTCTCACGTCTCGGTCGCGAAAGCAGGTGTAGACGCCATGGCCATGTCTGTCGCTATTGAGCAGGGTCCACGGGGTATCACGTCCAATATCATTGCTCCTGGACCTATTGCTGAGACTGAGGGTATGGCGAGGCTGTCGAAATCGGATGCTAAGAGTAAGGTGGCTAAGGCCGTGCCGTCTGGTCGCTTTGGAGCTGTCAAGGAGATTGCTGATGCTACTATCTATCTGTTTTCTGATGCGGGTAACTTTGTTAACGGCGAGACGCTTGTTGTGGATGGTGGCGCGTGGCATACCGCGGGCTTTGCGGGTGGGTTCGAGTATCCTGATTTCATGCTTAGTGGGGAGAGTGTTACGGGGGTTAAGGGCGGGAAGAAGAGTAAGTTGTAGAGGGGAGATGTAGAGACTGGTAGACGTGGAATCTGAAGAACGATTTCGCGGGCTATGAGGACGCTGAATTCATGAGTTGTACCTTCTGACGCTGCCGTGGAGACATCCAACAGATCCCTTGCTTATAGTCGTATCCATCTAACGGCGATGTATCTATCAGTGCGTCTCTTGATAACGCGTGCAACCCTTTCAAAACGAGCGTCTCCATCAACAGGGATGGTACACGTGACACATGTTCCATGAGCTTGACTTTCAAGCGTACGTGACCCGGCCATATATTGCAGTGCTTTCCCTTCCTCCCGCTCATCTACAGCTGTTTACGTCTACAATGACGACACTCGAACCGCAGATAACTAGGTAAAGCGACCCTGGATGTGACCGTTGCGCCTGTTATTCCACGAAACCATCTACACCAATGTCATGTTCACTAAGGCTTTCGGATCAGCAACAGAAGCTTGGATGAGAGCCCCGCTCAACAGCAGCGTATCTGATGATGAGGATGTACTTGGTCACCGCGGGTTCGTAGGCTGACGCAATAGAAGTGTATGTATGCGTCTGAGTATAATGTATGATGCAATATATGCATGATGGAAGATGATGTATACGTCTGTTCCGAGGAGTACTGGGTATGATTCAGAGAGGACGTGGCACAATGTATACATCTATGTTGCATGTAAGATATCGTGTACACAGACAAGCCTCTCTGTCAGCGTCTGATACCAAACAGTTGCATTCCTACCTAGAGCTTCAGCCTTTTCAACATTTTCCTGAAAACAAACATGTATACCACGCCTGGTCACAGTCCTTGCGATGCTGGACCAAGCTGACACTGAGGTGTGCAAGCACGCTCGGGCAGCACTAAGTATCCCAGCTGTTGTATAGCGCGCGGCCCACTCCATACCTCGGAGGCCTATAGCACCGGGAATCGAAATCGAATCTCAACGACTTTTGGACCAGGTTCGATAGCTCAAAATGGGATGAACCTTGTGTCAAGGCTGTAGTGGCTGAGCAAAAGCAAAAAGTATCATCGAGAGAGATCATCAGGTATCGGTGCTGCAATCTCACCAAACGTTGAGAGACTTGTCCAAGGACCTACCTCCGCCTCGAGCCTTGGGCGTAAAGGCGGACGGACGAATATAGCAGTCAATCTCTCAGTAAGCATCGCGCCCCAACATCCAAGCATCAGATCGTCGACTAGGTGTATTTTGAGTGTGAGATCATCGACCCTGAGCGGGAACCCATCTCGTCGTCAGCACATCAAAGAAAATCTCACACTTCCCCACGGATCAACATGCCAGCACATCGATCCTACCCAGTGATGCCAGCCGCACATCAAGGCATCCACGAATAAAACCCACTCGTTACCAACTTTGTCCCCGCGGAATGACGAAATGGATTGCAGCACCAGGTTTGGAGCGAGTGAACATCTTCATCTGCACCCCTTGACGAGCCGCACATGCCAGGCCTGCGCTCCAGTTTTAATACAAAATGCGCAGCAACGGCTTACCCTGCTCCCCTGTCGATCGCACTATCGATACCCAGGGGTGCTCCTTCTGGACTGGGCTGGTGGTGGCTGGCCATGCATGCGTCATAGCCCTTTTTCAGGAGACAGACGCGAGCGCGCGGTGCCCGGTTAGCGAAATTGAGCGTTTAGGTTTGGCGTGTTTTGGGACTGGCGTGGGCTAAGACGCGTGGTCAAGCGGTGGCTTGCGGGTGCTTGGCCGGCATCTTCGCTGCGGTGGGTAGGGCCGTCGTTGTGTTTGGCTAAAGGTCGGCGCGCGTGTTTGTGTGGTTACTGTGGTGTTGGGCAATTCTCGGAGGGTTTAGGCTGAAGTGGAGGGTTCGTAAAAGAGATGAGGAGAGATAGGGTGAGTGAGCTTCCGAGGGGGAAGCGACTTCATGTTGATTGAAGATGCAGGCGTGCAGATTGGTTGTCGGGTCGTAGAGGTGCCGTTGACTGACACGTTTCGATTCGCGGGCGCGTCGCCGTGCTCTTCGCGCGCCGCTTGAGTGGTGAGGGAGCGATGAGGCTTAACGCCGTTGCTAGACGACGGCGTGAGGGCGCCGGCGCTTTTTGTCATGCGCGCCCAAGCGCCTTGCGCATTTCATGGGATGGCAAGCCTCAACTTGGTTTTGGAAGGTCGCACAGGTAGAGGCATGAATTCTGCAGGTTGTACACGGGGTGCGGGTGGGAGATACACGGAGGGGATGACCTTTCTTGTACCCTGGACTATAGCAGAGCGGCCAGTAAGCAGGGCTGCAGGTACAACAGGTACATAGCGCGGACACCTGCTTATGTTGTTTACTGCAGGCTGCAGGTAGCGATGATGTCGCTGCAGGTTGGGTTGGGTGTAAGCGACAGGGAGGCGTCCGATACGACGCCACCGAGGTGTTTAGTATGCCCCGTGCCAGAGGATCAGCATGCATCAAAAGACAAAACATGCAGCAAGTCCCGCGCTGTGCACCCAACCATTACGTTCTCTCCCTTTTCTCTTCATACGCTCGTTATCGAAAGTGCGCTTATACATTCGTTTGTGTGGTGTTTGGTACAGATCAGAAGTAGTTGGACTGCCCAGGACGGTCGCTTTATCGATTATCGCGAGACATATCAGTTCCGGGAAAGGGTCCGCGTTAGTAACACTGGACACGGGAGCACCAAGACGGCTTTGCGAATCACCGACGGCTTGTGTGTCGTGTCTGCTGCGTTATCGCGATCGAAAGAGTCGTGATCTGCGAGGTGTCCGAGGTTGAGCACGTCATGCCCACGAGATAGGCCGAGTGCTTCACGTTTGACCACACGACTCCCTCGTCGAGTTTCAGCACCCACAGCCATCCCACGACGCCGGCGGAGCACCCAGGGCGCCAACCAAAAACCCAGAGTTGGCAGTGCAGGGAGTACCGCGGTTCGAGTCAGACCTAGTGCCAGTGCGGAAGAGGCGGAAGAGGCTACTCTTGAACTAACGGCCAAAGCGGGAGAGATCAGTTAGCCAGAAAGTGCTCCATTCACCAGCACAGACCTCACTTAGCGCTGGTAAGTCCTGCAGCTCCACCAGCTCCCATCCTCAACAGCCGCATCGCCATCAACCTCTTCCCTCTCCACACCAGCTGTGCTACCGGCGACACCCGTCCGACAATCCATCACGGGCAGCGATGCTGACGATAGTGTGAAGCATACCAGCAACACCTCGCGCCCACCCCCAGTAGCCTATCCCACCGAGCCGGCGCTTTTCTGCCAGCGACTGGTCCGTACCACCTCACACCACTTCCACCCATCGACCCCACTTGGAATCCTCTCGAGGCCCTTCCAACTTCCATCACCAGCTCCATCGCTCGTTCACGACGTCGGAGGCGTTCAATCGCTGTTCCAAGTCCTCATCGCCGCAAGCGCCCATTCACTACCGAGGGACAAACAGCATTGTCAAGACCTTCGCACAAAGACCGCGCCTATACAAGCGACCTCGACCTTCCCACCCACAACCCCACACATCCATCACCATGGAGCATAGATTCGCCTCGACGCTGCTGGGCTTCCTCGCCTTTTTTGTTCTGCTATCGTCCATCCAGCGCGCAAGTGCACAGGGCTTTACGCAATCATATTGCTCCAGTCTAAACACGGGTAGCGATGACGACGTCTGTAAGTGACATGTCAATCCTATCTCCACGATCCACAACTAACGTCTTCAGACACATGGCCATACCAGTCCAACGGCAACTGCACCAACCACTGCAAGGAGGAAGGTACCTATGCCTTTGCCGTTCTAAAATACACCGACTGCTGGTGCTCAAACTACGCTCCCGGGGAGACAGCCGACATCAGCGACTGCCAGAAGGACTGCCCTGGCTTCCCGGCCGAAAAGTGCGGCGACAAGGACAACAACCTGTTCATGTACATCCAAATGGACGGCAAGGTATCCGGCACCATCGGAGGCTCGGAACCCACGTCCTCCGCCGAGCCTTCGAAGACCAAAGATAAACCCACAGAGGCTCCGACTGTTAGTATTCCCCCTCCTCTCTCGCGCGCGTCTTTCTTGTCTTTCATCTCTCTTGCTTTCTTGATTTCTATGCGTACTATTTTGTGCGACCGGTGTTTGACTTCGTGGTAGTCTGCTCCGGCTCCGCCACCAGTCACTGTGACGCCTGACCCGGAGACTGTCATCTCTCTGGTCACCACGGCACCGTCTTCTACTTCTTCTTCTACTGTATTTGCTCTCAATCCTGTCTATAGCACATAGCTAACACATCAAGCAGACCGAAAAGCCATCTGCGACTCAATCCGAAGCCGACGATGAACCGACCTCAGCCATGGCACCTGTCACAACGCCAACCGTCCTAACCGAAAGCGGTCGTGTCGTTACCAGAACAGTCGTCTTTACTCCGACCGCGGCTGCCTCCGAGGAAACCAGTCATGAGAGCGGCCCCAACGTGGGCGCCATTGCCGGTGGTGTTGCTGGCGGTGTCATAGCTTTGTTAGCCATCGTAGGTGGTGTACTGTTCGTCCTCTGGCGGAGGAAGAGGCAGCAAGACGAGCAAAACGGCGGACATGACGGTGGTTCCGCTGGGATCTCGCGCAATGTGAGCACCATGAGCAGAGCCGGCCTGCTAGGAGGACGTAGCGAAAAGTCACCGACCCAGCTTGTTACAAACTTCGGTTCGCAACGGAGCCGCCACGACGAGGAATCGATCACGCCCGTTACACCATCAAGCCGCCGTCTAAGTCAACCCATCCTAGTCGACTCGCGACTCAACCCAACCGCTGTTTTGACCTTCCATGGCGCGAACGCCAGCCGGGAAAGTCTTGGAAGCATCGATGACAGCCGAGACTACGGACGACAATTGAATGTGCGAAACCCGGATCCGAACGTCAACTAGGGGAAGAGCTTGAACCACCATCTGCGGACTCGATAACGGGTGCGACTACATCACGACCCGGAGAAACTCCGTACCTTTACAGAGCACACCTACCATCAGAAAAGTTGGATGTCACCACCGCGCTACGACTGACGAACCTACAACATCATATCCAAAATAACCAGGCGTAATCCATAGCACCGACGCACGGCCGTCTAGTTTGTTTCATTACTGTCTTTGGGGGCTCCACGCCACACATCTACTCGAGACACTCCTGTCCGGTTCGATCACATCATTAATGGGCGCCAGCATCTGTGTACACTATTTCTCCTTCTTCGCTGGATCTCTGTTATGCGGCAATGTATATACTTATTTAGGGGGTGTGGGAGAAGAACAACATCAGAAAGGCCTCACGGCACTCGGCAGAAAAGGGACAAACCTTGCCACACCTAATGGGTCACACCGTCATGGTGTATGGGGATGGCGGAGTCGCAATAGGGATTTGCTGGTAGATTAGTTTAGTTGGAAGAGATGGGACTGCTACGCGTACGTGAATGCGAGTAGCTGCATCACCACTCGATACTTGAATTTAGAAATTACTTGTCAATTTGTGTTTTCGGACTTTCGTTCCTGCTGTTCGTTTGTCAACGGCGATCCGAATCATCGACCCTGGCCATATTGCGTCCCGCCAAGGCGCTAAGAAAGGAGACACCCAGTTCGACCTGTCGCATCTTACACGTTCAACTTAAAGTCAACCTCGTCAACCCATTACTTCTCACTATTGCCCCTTCAACCCCTCAGGATGGATAAACTTCCAACCGAAGTCCTCGCCGAGATCGTCGAGTTGCTCCGCGACCGCAAGGATCTCTGGAGCATCAGTTACACAAACAAAAAGCTGCATGCGATTGCCAACGATATCATATACTCCTGTTACGTACTTGACCGTCAGGACGCGTCGTTGTTCATCCGAGCGCTTGCATCGAATCCCAATCTCCAGCGATGCGTTCAACGCGTCAAGTGGAACAGTCCCATCCATGATGAAGGTGCCTTCAAGTTCCCCCGTCTGATCACAGAAGCCGAGTTCGATCAAATCAAGGAGAAAGTGGGATTTCCCTTCCCCGCAGCCTGGCCACGACATAGTACCTTCCTCACCGGGAAACTGGTGGAGGTGAATAACTGGATGCGTCTTCGTACAGAACGCGATCTGTATCTCAGTACGTTCATGTTGTTTACGCCGAACGTCAAGGAGCTTTGCATCTCCACGAAGCGGTGGGGATCTGAAAGCATGTGGTTCGTGCAATCGCTGGTCGGTAAGATTGGCACAAACCTACAGAAGGTGATACTCGACGGCGGAGCGAACGTTGTAAACCTCCTTCCGCTTTTTCTGCTGCCGAAGATGAAAACGCTGATCATGTCCGATCTACTGGCACCCACTCTACACGAGGACGCCGAATTGGAAGCCATCAACCTCGTTTGGGCACGACTGGAAAAAGAAGGATCGAATCTGGAGCATTTGGAAATCTCTCATACTACCACCGACATATTCGATCTCGCCCGCTTGCTGAAAAGCCTCAAAAACCTCAAATTACTCGACTACGAGTTCAGCGGCGGCGGGGGTTCGGTCAAGAAGCACAACAGAGACGTACAAACGCTCTTCGAAGCCATCGGAAACCACTGTGCGTCCCTCAACAACATGGCCATCGACGACGACCGTCTAGTGGTGAACCCAGGCGCGCTTGAACAACTGCGCGGCTTGGAGAACGTGGAGACTTTCCAAATGACCACGTCCATCTTCTACGAAAAAGTTCATTGTCGTTCTGTTACCAAGGACTTCCTCGCCGAGTCGCTCCAACGAAACCTCGGGAACCTGCCCAAGCACCTCAAAAACCTGCGCATCTCCACCAAGACGGGTTATCACGACGTGACGGAAACCTGCTTCGATGTCTTGCTCACCCTGGGCCCTGCTATAAAAACTCTCCTCCCTAATCTCGGAACTATTACGTTCTTTGGCTGGCACCCGCAACTAGGCACCTTCCCGTGCCAGACCCGCATCGCTGCCCTTCAGTCTGCGTTTGCGCAGGTGGGGGTAAGGATTGTGTCGGAACATGATACCGTAGGCGACTCTGAACGTTGGTACACGAAAACGCGCGTTGGGGCTTCGAGCAAGATTGAAGAAGACTATGTCTGGGTGCATCTTCTGGAGGACTTTGAGGGTGAGAGGGAGAACCCGTGGACGGCACGATTTGGCAGCTCGTATAGGGGGGATGAGCTGAATGGCGATGTATGGGATAGTGATGAGGAAGAGGAAGGGGGAGATGATGATGAGGAAGAGGTAGATGGTGATGAGGATGACGAAGACAGTGATGGGGACGACTGGGAAGATGAAGATGACAACGACGAAACTCCTAATCCCAGTGCTGATGGCCGACCACTAAATATGCAAGATATCATGGAGGAAATGGGCATTCTTGCGGCTCAGGGACGAATGCCGGGTATGCCTGGTATGCAGCCAACAAACGACGATAATGAGGAGGATGGAGAAGATGGAGAAGAAGGCTCGAACACTCAGTTTGGCCCCGGCCGCCCGCTTACCATGCAGGATATCGAGAATGAGATGAGGATCATGATGGGTCAGGGACTGATCTTGAATCTGCCTGGTATGCCTGGTTATAGACCGGAGGGCGAGGATGAAGAAAACGAGGAAGAAGATGATGATGAAGATGAAGAAGAAGGGTCGAACGGAAGCGATGCCGAGCAAGATCAAGACGACCCGGACAACGACGACGATCCGCCGCCAGCCATGGAACCTCTACCCAGCGCTAGCAACCTGACCCTACAAGAAATCGAGGAAAAGATGCGTACAATGATGGCTCAGGAGCGCATGTTCAAGTTGCCTGGTATGCCTCATTTCAATCCGGAAGATCAGTATGACAGTGAGGAGGAGGATGAGGATGAGGATGAGGATGACGAGTTCAACTACGGAGGAAACTACGGAGGAAGAGTCTGACAACGATCACGACAATGATGACGATGCGCCGCCAGCCTTGGGTCCTCAACCTAGCGGAGGCCGCCCCTTGACGAGGCAGGATATCGAGGATGAGATTGGGATCTTGCAGCGAGGGGGCCGCCAAGAGGGATTTGTGTTGATGTGATGGCGATGATGGATTGATGGATCGGTGGATTGGAAGGTTGAGTAAGGGATGTGGGGTTCTGGGGATTGAAAGGATATATCGCTATTTTTGTATATTCAAGTAGAATGGTAGGTAGCATGCGAGTAGGCTTTCAGCAACGCGAAGTTAGTTAAGGTTAAAAAGTGTAGTGGAATGCAGGCTTGTTGCGCCCCTCACTACTGCTAAGTTACCTTTGTTTTTGCTTCTTTCACACAGATTCTCTTTCTGCGTACATGCTGCTCAGCATGCGTTAGAAGAATACTACCGAAGTAGCCTGTTCCACGATTTTACGGTGCCATTATTTCAACACATCCATGATATATTCTCCGCTGAGGCAGACGAAAAGATATAGGAATGATGTCGCGACAAAAGCGACAGTATCGGACGTGGTGCACTTGACTGCGTGGATACCCAAATCACGCAGATCCCTGTGAGGCTCAACTGCACACGCGCCACGCGTTCTTAGGCCCACGTACCCTGAATCTCGACCGCAACACCGACCCCGTCCACGTTCCCCCAGCCTGGGACCAGACCTCACCTTCTATTCCACTACGATCGCACAGTTTCTCGGTTGCCCATCATGAGTAAAATGTGGGAAGTAGATCCGGAGACGCGGAGTAAGGTACGTTGCGCCTTCTACAGCTGAAGGAGGGGGACGTTAGGGGTCAATTGCGGCGTGAAGGCAGCACAGGTGATGAGTCGAGCATGCGCATATAGCAGAGGCTAATCAATTCCGTACGCAGTTGCTCGAGATACAAAAGACCAACGATAACAACAAGTGCGTCGACTGCAATGCGCCGAGTCCGCAATGGGTATGCAACCGCCCTTCCTCCACCTGCGCACGCGATCACCGCCTACACCTACTAAGATGAAATGTCCTAGGCTTCACCCAAGCTCGGTATCTTCATGTGTCTTTCCTGCTCGGGTGTACACCGCGGTCTGGGTGTACACATCTCCTTCATCCGCAGTATCACCATGGACGCCTTCAAAGGCTCGGAACTCGTGCGCATGGCTGCCGGCGGCAACAAGCCCTTCCAAGACTTCTTCAACACACATCCATCGAATACGAAAGACGGACGCACATTCGAGGCCTCATCCATATCAGAGCGATACGACTCGGAAGCGGGCGACGAGTGGAAGGAGAGACTCAGCTGTAAGGTCGAGGACAGGGAGTTCGACAAGGCAAATCTACCCAAGCGGTTACCCAAAAAGGACAATGTATCTACAGCCGGTATGGGCGCGCCCTTGAGCGGACGCGCCAGCGCAGCCGGAAGCCGAAGCCAGACACCCCTCGGAAAGACACGAAGCAACGACGCAGGTTTCCAGCGCTCGGGTTCCCCCGCCCTCGGCACCAACGCCATGTCTAGCCAGAAAGTGAAGAACGAAGCCTACTTCGCTAAGATGGGCCAGGAGAACGCCAACAGACCCGACGGCGTTGCGCCGAACCAGGGCGGAAAATACGGCGGCTTCGGCAGCGAGCCAGATGCGTGGAAGAAGGACGATGAGCCCGGTGCGCCTCCTGCGCTGGACGACTTCCAGAAAGACCCTGTTGCGGCGCTTACCAAGGGCTTTGGCTGGCTAGGCGCAAGCGTGAGTAAAGTAGGCAAAACGGGGTATGAAGGCTGGGTGAAGCCTGGCATGGCAAAGGTACATCTACCCTCCTCACACATCACCCTAACCCATAAGCCACAACAACGACTAACACACCATACTACAGCTCGCAGAAGCAGACCTCGCAACCCAAGCCCGCACCACAGCCGGCACCCTCGGCCAAACCCTCCAATCCGGCGTCGCAAACGCAAACACGCAATTCTCCCGCTTCGTCGAAGGCGACTCTGCACACCCTTCTTC